CCCTCAAATCCACCACTGGTTGTTGCGCGAATGAAATTTGTTTGCTATTGCATTGTTGTGTGTATAGTTTGTAGTGTGTACCTACACTTAAATTATGTAAACTCGTGCAGGGAACTTGCTGCTGCACACGTGCATAATACAATATTTATATCTAAATCGAAATCGCTGCGATAGAGGCGTGGAAAAATCGCTATCACAAACTCGCTGAAAATAGTATACATAGATACCTATACTTAAAATACTCGCCGGCTTTCGGCGATACATAATAACGATATAACGATGTATAGGTACACATATTATATATACATGTACATATGTATATAGGTTTTTTTCCCGTCAGAAGTGCTATTATAAAATTCTTCGCAAATTATACACATTCATCCGCGGGTGATGTGGTATTATATTATACGCACGCACCTGTACAGTCTGCCGATCGAATAACAGCAGTGGGTACAGATTATCGTGTGGAGCTCTGAACAATTATCGTGTACAATGTTATAATATTATGCGACGTCGACGTCCAAGACGAAGAATTCCGCGACGAGAAGTCCACGACTTTGTTTTTCGGACATCCGATTTGACGATAATATATCATTATTATTTCAAGCAAGACCCATTAACGTTTAACCGGTTAACCCTAACAAATGATACGGACAACGAAAAACTGTCGGGGAAAAAATCGAAATTCAGAACTATTAATTTCAAAAACTTTACAGTAAAGTGCTGTACGTATTCATATATATAATATATACTGAATGATAATTCATATTTTTTCAAGCAACTCGCAGTTACGACTATTGTTTCTTCGTCGTGGTGACGATGACGTTTATTCCGCGTTGTTAAAACAAATACTAAAATACCGTCGGCTGTATATATAGTTATCAATGTTATCATAGTAATGTACCTATATAATTACCTATATAATATTCTAGCGATGATAACTATATATACTTTGACAATCTCGGGCTTATAATAGGTATTATTTTTATTTGCTTATATAACTAGCGCGTATGAATATTAGGTAAAGCAACAAATTCTATTGTACACACGACCCTCACCGCGTGTGATATATATATATTCGACATCATAGATATTATTTATATATTTATACACTGAACTTTTATGTAATTTCCAAACAACATATTTCCATTACTATTTGAAAACCCAGAGCCTTAGGGCAGTGCGCGCATATCAATTATACAGACACAGATATACACTACGGATTATTGATATATCACGTCGATCGGTCTTGAGCGCGAGTTAATCATTTTACATGATTATTATTATACTATGATGCAATTTTACAGATGGACTAATAGTAACGGTATTATGCCGTATCTTACAAAATAACAAAAACCGGGGAAGTCGCTTTACTGTATAGAAGGTTTCTAGTGGGTCACTGCGTATAGTATAATGGATGCGGTAATTTTGAATTAAAATTTCAAAAATAAACATTTTGCAAGAAAAACGATTCTTTTCTGAGCGGAAATGGTTTGTTAGCTCGATAGTTGTATATGTTTTTATGACTACAAAACGATTTTAAAATTTTCGTTTACGCTCACAAATACCTACCGAATTTTGATACTTTTTAATTTCTATAAGAACGACTTGCGATATCTGCCGATCAAATAACATTATAGACTATATCGTTGAGCAATGAAAAACCATCGTGTACGATTATGTTATGACGTTATGAGAGTCGACGTCCCCAATAAAGATGCCGCGCAGTGACTTAGTTTTTCAGATATYAGACACGAGTACACGACAAAATCAGTCGACATTTTTCATTAAATCCTAAAAAATTATGTATGGGAAGTCAAAAACTGTTTAAGAAACATCGAAATTAAAATCAAAATTCATCTTAGATAACTTTATATTAATGTGATGTACTTGTATTATTGTGTTGGACATAGAGTTACGATGATCAAGCGTCGTTTTTGGGGTCGTCGTTGMTGTTCTACATAACAATAATATAGCAAGAGGTATACAATTGATAAGTTGTTGCTGTGTCAGTGTCACACAATGCATATGTTTTCGGTTGTAAATGGAAATAGAAAATTGAAAAACACAATAATCATCTTGCTTACACTTTTATGTTATTATATAACGTTACGTCTATACGTATTATGATTAATCCGTCGAATGACGGTTGTCGGATTTATATGTATATTAGATATACATAATACGAGAACATATATATTACACCCATTATATACACACAGATACCTCGAAGATCGTAGTTACGATTGACGTTAGTCTGCTCCGACCTAAATGATATGATCTTCGAGTCCCGCGCGTTTGTGTAATATTATAATATACGCGGTCAAATCGCGTGCGGTTCTACACGCCACATCGTCTCCTTTCTGATTTTTCTGACCGACGCGCGTCTCTGTATTAATTAGCTTTATATATTTTTCTTATTTTTTTTTTTGTTCGGTTCTCATCCATTGTGTTTTGTTGAATTTTTTTCTCGGCGAAAACCGTCAGCCCGTGCACACACGCGCGCGTTGCGGCCGTCTAAACTCGTGGCGAAATGGTCGTTGGTGCGTTGTGCGCAGCACATTATTTCGATTACATCGACCACTGCAGTGTGCAATAACAACGACGAAAATCGAACGCGAGAACGGCCGGATAAAAATAATATACAGCCTTGTTTTTTTTTTTTTTTAATTTTCAATCTCATTCTAAATGTATATTTTATTATAGGTACATGTTCGTTATTATTATATGTCGACAATATGTGCGCAGAATGAACAACACCACTGCGATTCCGTGCCTCGCGTATATCCTATATACATATTCTCGTTACCAAATGATTATATTCGAATATTATATATTATGTATAGGTACCGAGTTAATCTTCTCGGTCCGCCCCGTGGCCGTGACACTTTTCACCAGTGCGGGACATAATATTATTATTACTAATCCAATCACACGGAAAAATCGACCGAAACGCGACAAAATACTRCGGTGACTTGTTTGGACGTACAGACATACAGTCTATATAGTTTAGTCCATTAGCATATAATACATATTTTTTTTATTGGGCCAGATGTTTGGTGGGGAGGCATTGTCGTCTTACACGATTTAGACGCGTTAAAATATCATTCGAACAGAACTTTTCAAAACTAAACAATTTCAAGGACGGCGTATAAGCTATCGGGTTAATAGGTATTTATTATTTTCTTCCATCGACCACCGCATATAAATTATTTACTAATTCTTAAAACCAGTTTGAAAAACAATGTGTTCACGTATTACATTTACTGTAGTGAAAAATAACTTGTCAAGTCATTTATWTACGTATATAGTTAGCAAATTATAGTCATGTCAAAAGTTTTGAAAACAATTAACTTTGAATCCATTATATTATATATTATCAACTTGTCCATTCCCCGCAGACGTGTCTTGTTGAATAATGGTTTTGGATATATAGTGGAAACCAGAGATGGTATATAAACAAATTGTTTTATGTTGGTGTACACTTACCCGCTACGATTAACGAATTATTTACTGAAATCTTTTAAAATATCACGAAGAAAGATTTGCGTTTTAGTTTGAAAAGTTTCTATAAAGTTTCATCGAGTCTGTAAAAATATAAAATTTAATATTCCCGGTTGTGATCTTATATTTCAACAATACACACATTGAGAAGAGAGATTAATCAAACGTCTTCACGTCTCAATACTGCGTGTAGTATAATAGTTGCGTGCAATCGATCGCCGGTAGCCGTTTTTAAGCGTTAACTATCTGCAGATATAATGTCAATATATGTTCAATTAGCGCAGTCGGTGCTTTCTATATATAAGCATTATATACAATATACGTTTTCTTTACGTATGTATATAAACACTTTTATAATATACATCCGAAATCGCCATTATTCGCGACTATTTGCTCTCGACAGGAGATCAGTACGTGTCTGTAGATAATAGATATATAATATAATATATGTATTTCATTATAATCGAATGTTTTCACATCTTTACCACCTTAGTCATTGCTAYTAATATGTCTATTGATAAGCGAATTTCGTCGTCTTTACGCAYGCGGTAGGCATACCTTTGTGTTATGTATTAATCTAATAATATAATGCCCGTGTACACGAATGACCCCGCTTTCTTTCCGTGTGATCAATTATACACATATATTATATTATATGGGAGCTGTTGTATTGTATATAAGCGCCTCATCGCACGTATAGCGAACGGTCGGTGGCAAATTACTTTTGAATTGGCGTGAAAATCAATATAATGTGCCGATGCGGTGACGGCGGCGGTAGTGGGGAGCAAAGAAGCTCATTTTTCTAATTTAATATAAAGTCATTGTGGCTGGAAACGGCGGTGGAGTCGACGACGACGATATTCGCAGGCTGACGAAAACGATAATGAGAATTAAATTATGTAAAGTTGTATTACTACATCGCGACATATATGCGCCGTTGCAGCTAGTGCAGTATACAATGGGATGCCAATTAAACTGGCCAGGTGAAAGTTGTATTATGATATATCCAGGATTATGAGAGAACTGCAGTTCACAAACCAAAACGACTCACGTTCTAATAATAATAATAACAACTATACGCACGACGATACACATATAATATACGAACGCACATACATAATATTAGATAWATCAGTATAGGRCACACATATATAATAATTTATAATATAAATATTATAAATCGGTCGGCCTTCGTGCGTCGAGCGCGAAACTGACGAATGTTAACATAATAACATAATACATAGGTAATAATAATATGCTGTCGTGATGCGAATGCGATAATAATTCTTCCAAAACGAGTTTAGGCCGCTGCTATTACCTACCTATATTTTTTCGGGGAATATATTCCATCACATTAAAACATTAACGCCCCCGCGTAAAAATTTCAAATTTTTTATCCKCTGAGTTGTCTCGATTACAAAATTCATCAACACAGTTATACTGTTTCATTAATCGTATAATATCTATAATCAATTAATTGTATGTTGTCTGTGCAGGGGTAGAAGCGGCCGATTGAGGAGTTTGCCCGCCCTGTAYCAGGATGACGACGACGGCAACGATCTCAGCGACCTCGGCCTGAGCACGGGTAAGAAGAACTGCGTTGACGATTAYGATGAAGAAAAGGTTCCAGGGCGGGATCACGCGTCAGAGGACAATCGCAGTCGTTCGGCGGACGGTGGTGCTGCCGAGGGTCGCGTACTGCACAAACTCGGTAGCCGTACTGAAGCTCTAGCTGAAGAGGACCACGAGGAAGAAGACGTGTTCCGCGGAGCCGAAGAACCTGCGGCTGTGGCCGTCCGAGTGGCGACAGTGCAGACAATTGCCGCTGTCCCTCCAACGGTGACTGCAGAATCGACGGTGACCGAAAACGGATACGACCGGGCAATCAAGGACTACGTCGATTTCGCCGAATCCAAGCGGACTTCCGTGGTCAAGTGCGAAGAGCAGCAGCTGCCAYGTCGTAAGCCCGCCGTGGCCGAGATAAGGCGTCGGATGTCGGCGCCCAAAATCGAGGAGAAAGTCATGTTGCTCAAGACCCGATCGCAGTCCACAAGAGACTTGAACGCTGCAACCGCCGTCACCGGTGAACTGCCCAAGGTAGACATTGGCAAGCGCCGAGAGATATTCGAGAAGATTTGYTCGGAGACGAAAGCCGCTGACGTGCAGCACAATGTCKCGGCTAGACAACCGTCGCTCGCGAAGAAAAAGTCTGTCAAAGCGTCGCCGACAGCATCGCCACCTGAAAGTGTCGCCGCTGCCAACGCGGACGGTTTCCTACAACAAGTGGTCGAAGACATTCCTTTGCCCGAATCTCCGCCCGAATCACCGTTGCCAAGTAAGGGTTTAAAATGTTCGTTATTCGTGTTGTGGCATTTATTGTTTTTTTTTTTTTTAATAAAAAGTATCGAGTATGAGTACCTAATTAATATTTATTTATTTATTTTTGTTAATAGATCAATATAATAATAATTAATTTAATGTAACTATAAACGCGTTAAAAAAAAAAGTCGATGTGATTTTTAAAAATTGGACATGGTTTATGGTACTTGTATAATTAGTTATGGCTTGTTTCGTTGTTTTGGGTCAATGCTATTATTTTTTATAAATAAACATAAAAAATATATAGGAATATAGTATATTCCTTTRGTATAGATGGATGTGACAAATTTAATATGCAAATTACTAGGTATAACATTATATGTTATATCTTCTGTTAGACAGTCGTCTAACACCATAATAATAGTTATTATAGATACCTACTTAGAAAAGTTAAAGGCTGAATTACACAAAATACCGTATTGCGAAAAAATCATACGTAGGTATA